CAAATTTTTAATGGATATTTGAAAATAAGTCAATTCATGGATTTCATACCTAGAATTAAATCAATGAATGCCACAACAATGGGAAATATAAATACTTTATCTCCTAGAAAGATTGTCATTAAAATAGTCCCTGATCCGTTTATTAGGCTAAAAATATATTTCCTATCAACCATGTACCAAGAACTCCTACTTGTAAAGGCCAATCAACGTATAGATATAATGTATAGCACTTATTTTTACCACCGATTGTCGCGAAACAACTATCAATGCGCTGATGAAGGGATGGAATATTATGCGAATGCCTATTCACAACAACAACGCGTTTGGACTAAACGCGTGACTGAATGCATGTGTCGTCAGTGGAATCAAACCCTGGGCTGTATTCCCGCAACTGATGGTTACGTCCCGATCAATCGATTTGTGAAACACACGGGCTATCAGTTCTGTCCCTACAATACATCGCTCGTAATGAATGGGTCGACACCTTATACTAAATGCAGACAATTACTAACCAATCAGTTTTGCCACTTTTTACGCTATGGTTTGTATGATATAACAGACTCTCGTCGTCTGAATTACACCGAAATAAATATTATACCCAATCATTACTTTGAGACACAAATCCGTGAGGAGTTGGCTATGGATTGGCCGGAAGTGGTCTATAATATGGGCGGTACTATTGGTCTGTGGATCGGAATCTCAATGATTTCATTTCCTAATATTATGTCATATTTAAAGTTTATGTTTTTTACATCATATCGATATTTTAATAGATTTTATAATAATTATTTAGAATAATTTATTCTAATAATAATTAATAACAATTTAATTATTGTTGCTTTATTTTTAATCACAATTTATTTATGAAAAATATGTTTTATACTAGAGGTATGCAAAATGTAAAATTTAACATTTTAAATATACAGGTTCAATTTTAAGTATTAGTATATCAGACTAATCAAAATTAAGAATAGAAAAATATAAAATTTTAAATATTTCAAATTTTAATTTTAAACTTTATTTTTGCACAGAATTTTACAATACAAGAGTTATAAAATAATAAATAAATATTTATACAAAATACAACTAAAAATAAAAATTTTGACATTTTAAAAATATATTTTTTATTCATATGTATAATTATACAATTACATACACTTTATATAATAATTTATAATTATAACAATATGTGCGCGATTTGTGAATCCAAGGCTTGCTTTCAAACACAGTATGAGAATAATTAATAACTCACTTACAGTTCATCACATTTAAATTAATTAATATTTAATTGTATTTCACATAACCCATTTTAATTAATATTAGTTTTATATCCAGCAAGATTATAAAAATTATTTGGGCATGTTTATTCAATAAATTATCAATTATTTACTTAAATGATTTTTAAATACCAACATATTAATAATATTTTATATTCATTGTTTCATTCACATTTGGGAATTCATTGCTTATTTCACAATTTGTTATCAAATGTGTCACCTCATAGACTCGGGAGGTATCGATTAATATCAATATTTATTGTATTGTTAATTATCTATAATTTAGGTTTGATTTTCGCCTTACAATACAGTACTCATTAATGATTAACACATTTGAAATATAATATAATTAAAAGTGAATAACTATTTAATGATTTTTATTGGTAATAGAAATTAATTATTAATTACATAATAAGTAATATACGTGTATGTACCAAGTACCAAAGACCTCATATGTAATGGTGCATCATATAACTTTTGTACTATTGATTTTAAATAAGTACAGCTAATATTATATGCTGTATATTTAATAAAATTCATTAACTATACATTTATTATTTAAATAACTATAAAACTTTGACTCAAATAATAATTTGTTTGCAGTAAATGGCTGTGTATTAGAAAGTAAATACATTTTATACTATATTATATACTCACTTTAAATTAATTTTTAGAACAATAAGTAAAATATATTAAAACCATGATCTATTTAGTTAAATCAAATCTATTTCAATATAGAATAAGCCTAAATAAAATGATAAAATTAATAATTTTGTTTGGATTAGTGTATAACTCCTGTGTGGCAACAATTAAGTATTTGGCGTACGATATAATCACAGATATAAAGTTTGACCGAGAATTACATCATTGGGTTTATAGAAGTTCCGCCACTGTTTGCTATAATCAGAAATATACCAATTATAACAACAAATCTGTCGCAAGTGTTTTAAATAATATACTCAAAAATAATAAATCATGTAAATTTAGTTCACTATTGTGTGACAAAGTGTGTCCGGTATTGGCCCGACTCAGACCCGACGGTAGCCTTTGTCTGACATATGGGAGCTGTTATCAAACCAATATAGTTAAACACCGGATGACATTAATTACACAATTATTTAAAAAAGTGGATGTAATTATGCACTCAATATTAAGTCCGTCACATTTTAATCCAATCATCTCATTGACCACAAAGTATATGATAAATGACATTAAAATTTATGCAAAAGTGCAGACCTTATTGCCGGCCCCCTATAGGACTGATTGTTTGGACTATAATCGCGATATTTCCAGTAATTCGACACAAATTGATGTCCAAAACCCGACGTCAAGAGAGGACTGTATGTTACGAGTGATGAGACAATTGGAGGCCAAAGTGTGCGGACGTAATCTCTATTGGGATTTGAAATCAATTAAAGACATCAAACAATACGTATTGAACGGTACGGACAGGGAATGTGTGGTTCGACCCGACTATAAGCACTTACACACTGTATGTAAAACTGAATGCAAACAATATTTTACTGAAGTAAGAGTCGATCCGTTTCAAAACGATCGCAAATTTAAATTTAAAGAAATTGTCTTTCATTACGATTACAATGTCTTTCCGTCAATGGTTTGGAATTATTGCCCGAAAACTGATTTTTCTACTTATTTGTCATCAATCGGCGGATTAATGGGTATTTGGTTGGGATTTAGTGTCTATTCAATTGTTACCGCAATTTTGGATAAAATTAAAATAATGATAATTAATATCCATTATAACAAACAGTTAAGGAGACCAAGAAAATCAATCAGTTATATTCGTTACTGTAAAGTAATTTTATTAGTTGTTTGCATAGGTTTTATGGTTTTTCAATTGAGTGACATTTACTTTGATTTTATTGATTATAACATTAAGATTAATATTGAAATGAAACAAATGGTCAGAATTCCGGAAATACGAATCACATATCCTTTTAATTCTGTTAATATTAGGAAACTTTTGAGGCATTTTAACTCAAACTCAACGATAATAAAAGGATTTAATAAAAGGTAAATATAATTGTCCATGATAATTGATAAAACTCGAATGATTTAGTTGTAATTGAATTAATGTCCTACACAACTTAAAAGAGTTAGGAATGGGTGGGTATTTTATTTTACAAAATGTGGAACTTTATACTTTATAAACTGATCATATACAAATTTTACAAATTGTATATTATATATAAATTAATCATGTGTGGCTTAATTATCACCATAATTGTTTTTTATTTAACAATTTTACTTTTGTTATCAATAGATTATGTCGTGGACTAACTAGAAATGAAGTTTTTGCACTAACTATGGCTCATATATTGGGAACCAATTCATTGGCCGCCATTCGGGACGTGATATACGATTACGAGCGCAATGTTATCGAGTGTTACGTTCAATACGACCAATCAGTTCGGGTTTGCTGTCCGGCGGCAGACAATTATATACAACTCTATAAACATAAGTTCAAATGGAGTTTGGAAATATGTCAACTAGTTCATTTTATGCCCAGCATTACATCAATCAATACCACCACAGCCATAGCAAACAATGATTTAATTAGCAAGATTACTATCATAATACCACCTATTGCAATTGCGTACATTAGGTTAAATTTGATGTCATACTTTCACAAAGATCTGGTCCTTATAAAGACCAATCGGCGCACAGATATAGTGTATAGCAGTTATTCCTACCACCGATTGTCGCGAAACAGCTATCGATGTGTCGGTGAGGGGGCGGAAAAAAGTTGTGCGAATGCATATTCACAACAACAACGCCTATACTTTAACCGAATGAGTGAGTGTTTGTCCCGAGAGTTAAATCAAACCCTGGGCTGTATTCCCATAAACAGTGGTTACGTTTTGATCAAACGTTTAGTGAAACACACGGGCTATCAGTTCTGTCCCTACAATATGTCTGATGTAATCAATGGGACGACACCTTATGCTAAATGTCATAAATTAATAACCGATCAGTTTTGCCACTTTATACGCTATGATTTGTATGCAATTACAGATTCTCGTCGTCTGAATTACACCGAAATAAATATTATACCCAATCATTACTTTGAGACACAAATCTGTGAAGAGTTGGCAATGGATTGGCCGGAAGTGGTGTATAATATGGGCGGTACTATTGGTCTCTGGATCGGACTCTCAATGCTATCGTTTCCCAATGTTGTACACTATTTATGGACATTGTTTGCGATATTTATTCGATATTTAACTCAAGTTTTAAATAATTTTTATTATAATTTTAATCAATAATTATTCATATTTCTTAATTTTATTTTATCAAATTCCGTAAATTTTTATTGCACATAATTAATTATTGTTTAATAAAATTAATTATATTATCGTTATTGTGAGTGTCATTTAATTAATTGTTTCCTGATATTATGCAATATTTCTGAGAGATGTTTAGTATAACGTAACCCTATTTGATTTGGTTACATTAATATTATATTATTAACAAATTATGTGAATTATTTTCAATCATTTTAATTGCAATTAAATTAGTAATAATTATGTTTTAAGTTTTTAACAAGGATAATTTTTATTATAGTCGTTGTTTTAATAAATACATACAATCAATATAATCACTTCATACCAATCGCTCTCACAAATAAATATATTTAAGTATTAATAATTTGGAGTAAAATATATATACATTTATTAAAATACAATGTTTTGAATACAACATTTAGAGGACATAGAGATATAATATGTAGAAAAATACGCAAACAATAAAAGCGATGGGAAAGAGGTATCGGGAGATGATGTCAATGGTGTTGGCGGGCATGTGGTGGGGGTCGGTGTCCAAGATGTTGGTCAACTTGATGTGACTACCGCTGGACGTGTCGATCATGTGGTGAATCCATTTCGCTTTCTTGTGTCGCTTCGATTCGCCGCCACTTTTCGGCTCAAAAGCCGACTGTATTTCTATGTTATTTGGTTTCTATAAAACATTGATTTTTATTAATTTAACTAAAAATTTGTGAGAAATTGATTTTTTAAAATGATGGTGATTTTTAAAATGTAAAACAATTTCTATCAAGTGCAAAGAAAATAGTTTTTACTTTTAAATATAAAGTATTATATATAAACTTTATATTCATAGAAACTGATTATTTATATCACATAAACTAATGTAATAAATATAGTGTAGGTGTTATGGCAATGGGATAATGAATGGTAATAACGGGGATGTAATACATGGTTGTGATGGTTGTCATCGTTGGTAGTGATGAGTCGGTAAAAGGCCTCACAATAGGCAATAGCGATGGCATACTCTATGAGCGCAAAGAATACAAACGCTATGCATATAATC